TAGCCTTTTCAGAAGCCCAGGTCCAGCCCAGCAGAGGAGCTGGTGACATCATCCTGCAGCACAAAGACGGGATTGTTCCACCTCCAAGAAAACCCGGTGAGGTCTGCCTTCCCTAAGGACAAGGTGGGGAAAGGGCACCCATCCCCATTATCACTGATGTGTGCATAGCTCTTGATGTGATTTTTTTTTAAAGATCATTCCAATTCTTGCTTTTCAGGTTGAAGTTTTGGGGGTGGGGGACTAAATCACAGGGCCATATCTGATGGGGAGGCCCTGTCTGATGTCACTGGCATTTGGGGCAAAGACAAAAATTCCTTACCTTGAAAATGTTCTCAGATCCAGCTCTATACCTGATCCCCACCTCTTCCTCCTCTTTTACTCAGTCCTGCAGCCATTTGGCTTCCATTGGTTTTTTTCCCTGAAGGAGAAAGAACTGAACTTGGGATCTCCACAGGAGGAAAAGAAGTTAAAGGAAAGTTCCCATCCCTGTCTAGATTCAAGGCCAAGCACCTACAAAACCATCAGAACTTCCTCAATGCTAAAAGTGATGGTTTTTTAGCATGACTTCAAATGTTACTATGCCAAATGAGACTTGGTCTCTTTACTCTTCCATGAGTTGAGTTGCTATTTCCTTGGTCAAGTACCTTATTGCTGGAGCCTCAAAGGTGGGGAGAAAGGAAAGCAAAAGCAAAACTGTCCTGCCACATATTAGTAAATATTTATTGAGCAAATACTATGTGCTCAGTGCTGTGCTATATGCAGAATTGAGCTAACCTGACACAGCCCCTGCCCTCCAGAACTTAGAGCCCATCCAGAGAGAAGGAAATCAATTAAGCACATACATTTTTAAATGAGTCCCAAATTATGATGAGGGCTACAAATGAATCTGTATACTTTGATGAAGAAGATAAAAATAGGACCTTCCTAGATTATGCAGATAGAGAAGGTATGTCTGAGAAGGTGGCCTTTGAATTCAGACCTGGAGGACAAGAGGGATTTAATCATATACAAAAGTATTAACTTCCACACACACAATGAGTATAAGTTTGGAAAGAAGTGGGACATAGTAACAGAGAAAAAGCATGTGGAAAGTCACAGTGGTGGTGGAAGGAGATAATTAAATATGACTCAAAGTTGGCAAAGCTCTCTACAACCAGAAAAAGTCATCAGGAGTTTGGGCCTAGATGAAAAAAATGAATGGATTAATCAGATTGGTAGTTACAAAATAGCCCTGGGGATGTAAAGTACAGCCTATGAAATACTAATATAGTCAACAGTGTTGTAATAACTACATACGAGGCCAGATGGTACTTGAAATATCAGGGGAACACTTTGTAAAGTATATGATTGTCCAACCACTATGCTGTACACTTGAAACTGACACAAAATAATAATGAATATAAACTGTAATTGAAAAAAAAAATTTAAGAGCAGGCTTCAGCAAAACTATTCTGTATGCTATTGAAATGGTGGATACATGACATTACACATTTATTTCCTAAAACCAATAGAGTGTACAGCACAAAGAGTGAAACCTAAAATAAACTATAGACTTTAGCTAATCATAATAATAAAATAATATTTATTCATCAGTTATAAGAAATGGCTTTGTCCACACAAATGCAATATGTTAATAGGATAAATTGGGAGTGGGGGAGACAGGGAGAGGAGATATCAGGGCGCCCTCTCTACTTTCTGATGAACTTTTCTATAAATCTAAACTGCTCTAAAAAATAAAGTGTGTTAATTTTTAATAAGAAATCATGGGTTCTAAGATCTGGCTAAAAGAAAACAAATTTAAAAAAAGTGTCAGAGGCTTTCCTAGAAAGGAAAAGGAGTTTAAAAACAATATAGATGAAAAGAAATGAGAAATACAAAAAAAATATATAGATTTATTTTAAAGAAAAAAAGATACCTTGTTCTTATAAGTTCAGTTTGAACACAGCACGTATCAAAGGTCCAAGAGAAATAATTAGTTCTCTACCAGTATTCTGTAACTTTGAAATCTCAGAGCAAAGGATTTGAGAAGCCGGCAATAAGCATTTTTGATCAATCATATGATCAATTGTAAAACATTAATCCTTTTTCTTATTCAAATCAAAGCACATTTTTCACAGCCCAGGGCAAAAGAGCAAGCAGTCTTCTGGGGCCAATCAAAACTAGATTTTAATTTCTACTCCTACCCTTGGATCTGAGTGACACTGACCAAATACTCTTAATTTTTTTGAGACTTGGTCAGTTTCAATCAGCTGTCATATGGAGAGATTACTTATCCCATAGGCTTGCTATGAAGACTAAAAAGAGACGGCATTCCAGAAATGGTACATATTATTATAATTCATGGTAAGTATATTACAGCTATTATTATTATTATTACTAGTGGCCTGGTGCACAAAATTCGTGCATGGGGAGAGGGAGGGTGTCCCTCAGCCTGGCCTGCACACTCTCCAATCTGGGAACCCTGTGGGATCGGGCCTAAACTGGTAGTCAGACATCCTCTTGCAATCCTGGACCGCTAGCTCCGAAACACTCACCTGCCTGCCTCCCTGCCTGCCTGATTGCCCCTAACCACTCTGCCTGCCAGCCTGATCGCCCAACTGCCCCTCTTCCAGCCTGACCACCCCTGCTGGCCCAATTGCCCTCAACTGCCCTCCATGCTGACCTGCTGGCTCCCAACTGCCCCTCTCCTCCCTCCCCCCCACCTTCTTCACCAGCCTGATCGCCCCTAACCACCTCTGCCTCAGCCCTGCCACCATGGCTTTGTCCAGAAGATTGTCTGGAAGGTTTCCCAATCTAATTAGCATATTACCCTTTTATTAGTATAGATTAAGCACTGGTCATTGTGCTAAGTGATTATACCTATTATCTCATTTAATCTTTCCCACAGCCCTGTAAAGTAAGCATTCCTAGCCCCATCACTGAGATAAGAGAAGACTCAGAGAGTTTCAGTGATTGCCCAAATTTACACAGATCATAAATGAATGAGAGTAGAATGTAAACCCAGCTCGGCTTATTTTCAAATGCTTTCAAATGCCTACTCATAGATTGCCTATATTAATATAAGAACTTTGCATTATAAGTAAAATCTTTATTTTTTTATTTCATGGTTACATTGCTATATTATGTCTGATTTTCCCACATCAGTGGCCTTCCTCTGGTGTAAATATGTGGGTAGATTACAACGTGACTTTAACAGGGAGAAAAATGAAGGTGCATTAGACTATGATTTTCCTTACTAAGATTCAGAAGGCATCAATGACCCCTTGAATCTGCAAGTTCTACTGTCTTTCCAGGTAACAGCATGGTAGGGTCAGTCCATAGAGGTATTTCCCTGAGTTCTAACTCACTCCAGTTTGGTCACATCTGTATGGCAGTCCCTTGCTTTTGATACAAAAGTCTATCGGTGCCCTAACTGGTTTGACTCACTGGATGGAGTGTCCACCTGAGGACTGAAGGGTCCCAGGTTCAATTCCAGTCAGGGACATGTACCTCTATTGTGGGCACATCCCCAGTGGGGGTATGCAGGAGGTAGCTGATCAATGTTTCTCTCTCATCGATGTTTCTAACTACCTGTCCCTCTCCCTTCCTCTCTGTAAAAATCAATAAAATATATATTTTTTAAAAGTGTATCTGGCTCCCAATACTTGTCTTTATAGCCCACTGTTAAAGTTTTTCATTATATTTCTGTTATTTATATATTTCACTCGAAAGTATTATTTAAGTGGTTGGGATAGTTTCAAGAAAAAAAGTACTGGATGGTTGGGGATCCCCCATAGGTAATTATAGTTGATATTTTACATTAATTCTTATGGAAATAATTCACTATTTTAATTTTCTTTTCACTCTAAGAATGTAAGTTGCAATTTTTATTTTTTTATTTTAGAGAGAGAGAGGGAAGAAGAGAGAGAGAAACACATCAACTTGTTGTTCCAGCCTAACCCGTTTAGCTCAGTGGACAGAGCATTGGCTGCGGATTCAAGGGTCTCGGGTTCATTTCTGGTCAGGGGCACATGTTTGAGTTGAGTAGGAAACTCAGTCCCCAGAAAGGGATTGTAGGGGGTGTGCAGGAGGCAGTTGATCAATGATTCTCTCTCATCATTGATGTTTTTATCTCTTTCTCCTTCTCCCTGCCTCTCTGAAATCAATTTAAAAAACACACTATATTTTTAAAAAATTTTTGTTGTTTCACTTATTTATGCATTTATTTATTCATTCAATCCTCACTGAACACACCACCTTGGCATATCTGGATGATGCTATAATCAACTGAGCTTCCCAACCAGGGCAAGGATATAATTCTTGACAAATTCATAGAACTCTTATAAAGGGAGGCCTTATATCTTATCATGAACTCTCCACTTCAACCATCTTCATTATTTCCTATAAGCAAACCATCCCCAAGCTGCATGTGGGCTGTGTACATGCACAAGTAGGCATAGACACAGGTGGTTTTGTGGTCTCTCTCTCTTTCTCTCTTACACACACACACACACACACACACACACACACACACACACTGTAGGATAGGTTTGGGGAGGGGAAGTCATTTTTTGCCCTGAAAACGAAATTAAACACTTTCCTAGAACATTTTTTAAGTGCACTCCAGAACTCCAAATGAAAGACTTAAATGTTGGGGTTTCCCCAGAGACCCCCACACTTCCTGGAATTTAAATTTTTAAAAAAAGGAAAAACAGGCAAAACCCTTCATCTCTCCATCCATTAACTCTAACACACTTTGAAAAGGCAAGTCAACTAAGAAGTGTAGCACCAACATTAACACAGAAAACGCCTGCCATGAGGAAGGAGAACAAGGGGCCACCTCATGCCGTGGCCAGCCGAGCCACTCAAACATTTCGTCAGCAGGACGGCAGCCAGCTTTCCCAGCTCTTTTATAAAGCTGGCCCCTGGCACTCCAGAGTAAGATGTAGCTGTGCAGTCTGCTTGTCCCTTAGCTACTTCAGAGGAGCTGGCAAAGTGGCCACCAGACCTGCCTGGGAGCCATGGCAAAGAGTAGACTTGTAATTTACGTCCTGGTTATCACCTTACTCCTGGACCAGACCATTAGCCACCCGTCCAAATTCAAAGCCAGGAAGCACAGCAAACGCCGCGTGAAAGGTAAAATACTGGGCTTGCTCAGGGTGGGGAGGGGCTGGACAATGTTTATTTCCAAATCCCTCCAGGAGACTGTCCCTGGAGAATGGCATTTCATGGGACTGAATGACCTTTTAATTCTCTGGAGAGTTAGATAATTATAGGAGTCATGTAATAAGGGTGGGTTTTTTTGTTTGTTTGTTTTTTACAATGATAAAAAAACTCCTATAATATAAAAAGAAATTCTATATTGTATATCCTTTGTCAAGTGGGTTAGAGATACAAAATGTTCTTTAGAGGGAGTCACCGGGATATGTGGACATCTGGTATTATGAATGAGGAATCAAGAAGAACATATTGATTATAGAGTACACTGTTTCACTCGTAGAGATTGTGTGACATTATTCAAAGGTAACTGTGAAATAATTAAGACCCCATTAAATGTGTAGAAGATAGAGCTATTGGTAATTGTGACTTCTGTTTTGTCACTGGTTACTATGTAGATACATTTTTATATTTTGCTATAGAAGGACAGTCTATACTATATATTTAAGCTTTTTCCTGTCATAGAGAAATTGAACCTCTCTTTGATTTAAACATATTTTAACTAGCAAAGTCATATAGTGTTTGAAAACATTTTAATGCAAAACTAAATCTAAGAGCAATCTCAAATTTTGGGTGGATTGAATTAGGTTGTGAGATAAATAGTAAATGCTGCAAAGAACAAAAGTGATGATAATTTATTTATAACATACTGAAACCAAAGCAAAAGGGAAAACAAGGATAATGTTTTATCTCATCCTCTGAGTAATTTTCATATCAGGATATTTTAAGGTAAATATTATGATACTATTTCCTTATCAGTTGAACTTAGTTATTAACAAAACACACACACACACACACACACACAAATACCAACAAGGTTGGTTTTGATGTGACACAACACAGATGACTGGTGGGCAGAAAGGGGGCTTGTGTTGTGTTGTGTTTTGATTATTATAAAGTGCACTTTTCTAGGGGAATTTATTTATACAATTTAACTCTGATGCAAGGTTTCTTAAGTGGAATCTTTTTTCCTTATAAAATGTTATATTGCCCTGGTACCTTATTTAATGAAAGACTGAAATATTTCCCATGTGTAGGTACAGATTATATACTGCTGAAGATGAGGGCAGGAGAAGGAGGCAAGAGAAGGTACTGAGTGATGTGGCACATTTTTGTTGCCAGAATTTCCTCACCAGTGGGAGGGAGTGCAAAGTGGTCACCACCCAATAGGGATGTGAGAAGGGGTGTGAGTCTGTGAGAGAGGGGGGAGAGAGAGAGAGAGAGAAAGAGATGGGAGTGTGTGTGTGTGCGTGTGTCGTTTTTCTGGAGTAATTGCAGTTGAGGTCATAGAGAGCTCCTTCTTCAATCCCCACAAACACACGAACACACACTTTTTTTTTTTTTTTTACTGACTGAGTACACATCTTAAATATCATCCTCTGAAAGCAGGTTTTTTTTTTAAAATAAATTTTTATTGTTCATATTACTACAAATGTTCCTTTCCCGCCCCTCCCCCACCCACCATTGCTCTCCTCCACCAGGTTCCCACCCCACCCTCTGCCCTTTCCCCACTCCCCATTGTCCTCATCCATAGGTGCACAGTTTATGTTCAGTCTCTTCCCACATCCCCTCCCCCCTTTTCCCCAAGAATCATCAGTTCACTCCCCTTCCATACCTCTGATTCTATTATATTCAACAGTTAATATTGTTCATCAGATTTTTTTTTAATTCCCTTGGTTTTTAGATTCAATTGTTGATAGTTATGTATTTGTTGTTCATAATTTTTATCTTTATTTACTGTCTCTTCTGAAAGAACCCCCTTCAGCAATTCATATAATTCTGGTTTGGTGGTGATGAACTCTTTTAGCCTTTTTTTTTTTTATTAGTGAAGCTCTTTATCTGACCTTCGATTCTGAGTGATAGCTTTGCTGGATAGATTATCTTTGGCTGTAGGTTCTTACTATTCATCACCTTGAATATTTCTTGCCATTCCCGTCTGGCCTGCATGGTTTCTGTTGAGAAATCAGCAGACAATCGTATAAATGCTCCTTTATAGGTAACTACCTTCTTTGCTCTTGCTTCTTTTAATATTCTCTTTGTCTTTTGCTCTTGGAATTTTAATTATGATTTGTCTTGGTGTGGTCCTCTTTGGATTCCTTTTGTTTGGAGTTCTGTGTGCTTCCTGGACTTGTAAGTCTAATTCAGGTGGGGGAAGTTTTCTGTCACTATTTCTTTCAGTATGTTTTCGATATCTTGCTCTCTCTCATCTTCTGGGACACCCATAATTCTGATGTTGGTTTGCTTGAAGTTGTCCCAGAGGTTTCTTACATTATCTTCAGTTTTCTGGATTCTCTTGCCTTCTAGCTTCTGCAGAGGAGTGTCTTCTGGATCTTTATGTTCCAATTCTTTGACTTGATTCTTGCGATCTTCCGTTCTGTTTTTAGGACTCTGTATAATATTTTTTATTTCAGTCAATGTATTCTTCATTTCTTGTTGATCTCTTATCATTTCTTGTTGATTTCTTATTAATTCTAGTTGATCCCTTTTTATATCCTTATAGGTCTTAGCCATCTTTTCTAGGAAATTCTTGAAAAACCTTATAAGCGTAGATTTGAACTCTATATCCAGTCGCTTTTTGTCCTCCATTTCTTTCGTTTGTGATCTATTTTGTCTCGGTATTTTCGCAGCTTTCCTGAGTTGGTATCCTTAAAAGTCTCTGTGTTCTGCTTGGATGGGGCGGGGTTTCAGGGTGGAGCCTGCAGCTTTGGCTTCCGTCAGCCCCGCCCTATGCGGGTCCTTCAGTACTAGTTGCAAGCGCCTCTGAGAGAAAGGTGCCCTCGATTTTTGCCTGCTGCCAAACAGTCTATGCTCTCCCCCAATGAGCCCGGTATTGGGGTTCAGTTCAGTTGGAAGTGGAATTGGAGGTGGCGTTCAGAGCAGTCTGGAGCCCCTGTCTCCTTCCCGCCAGGGCAATCCCGTGGCACAGCCAACCATCCCTTCTCTGCGCTCAATGTGTGCGCCATGGGGACCTCTTTTCACCGCTTTCCCGGGGTTCCGCCTTGCAGCCCAGCTACCTCTGTGTGAGCCTGGGTCCCCGGGGTCTGGCCTAGAACTAGGGTTCAGAGCAGTCAGAACTGAGGCCCAACACAGTCGGAGTTTTATCTCCTTCCCGCTAGGGAACACCAGCCAGGCACTCAGCCTCCCTCCTCTCCAGCTCCGTCCTCTCCTTGTGCTGGGCGTCTCCGTACCTTAGGCTTTTACAGCTCCTCTGAGCTTCCTTCTGGTTTTCTCCTTGCTTCTCGTTGTAGAATTTCCAGTCAGTTGACTTTCCTGTAGTTCTGGGTAATGTCCATTTTATATTTTAGTTGTATTTTATTGAAATTGTTGTGTGCGGCTACAGCTAGGTGTTTACCTGTCAGCCATCTTGGAATGACTCCCCTGAAAGCAGTTCTTGCTAATTTTGCCATCAGGTCCCAATAAGCAGATGCTACAGTAGGTGAAGTAGTAAGTCTAGGCTTGCAGAATAGTTTGCTCCCCAACCTCTCACACCCTTAAACTATTCTAAGTACCTGTAAATAACACTTTATGAAATCAAAGTGAAAGCTATTTCTGTCTCCCAATCCTATCCACAGAATTAGTCACTATTAACTGTTGCGAGGTAATATTCCCAGTTTTTTGAATGCACAATTAAAAATTGATATTTTTAACAAAAGAATTGGCTATGCAAAGTGTCTGGCAGACAAACTTATTAATTTCATCTATTATCACTCAGATAAATAGCTTACCTCAGTCATTTTAACAGCCACATAACATCACTCTGCATAGAAGGGTCATGATTTATTTACTGTTCTCTTGGTGAACTTTTGTGTTGTTTTCAATCCATCTCTGATTCAGTGCCTCAGTAAACTGCTTTATACACACATAAAGATACTTGCTGACTTGTGATGGAGTAACATTCTGATAAACCCATCATAAATTAAAAATATCACCTGGCCAGTGTTGCTCAATGGTTGAGCATCAACCTATGAACCAGGTGGTCACAGTGTGATTCCTGGTCAGGGCACATGACTAGGTTGTGGGCTCAATCCCCAGTAGGGGTGTACAGAAGGCAGCAGATCAGTGATTATCTTTCACCGTTGACGTATCTATCACTCCCTCTCCCTTCCTCTTTGAAATCAATTTTTAAAAATGTATTTTTTATAAAAAATACAATACTGTAAGTTGAAAATGCATTTACTACACCCAGTCTACCAAATATTGTAACGTAAGTGACCTTAAATGTGCTCAGAACATTTTTAAAAAAAAATCTCGCTGGCAGCACAGTATTATACTCTAAAATATCTGGCTCTTCCCAGCATCACAAGAGACATTGGTAGCACATAAGGCTTGCCCAGGATAAGATCAAAATTTAAAATTTGAAGTACAGTTTCTACTGAAAGTATATGGTTTTCACATCATTGTAAAATAAAAATCATAAAACATCCCTATCAGGGACTGTCTGTAAGTATATTGATCCCTATGAAAGGATGTTAGGGTACATTTCTAGAAGCAAAATTTCAGGCTAATCACACTTTCCAATTGGCTCCCAAAATGACAGCATCAATCTATGATCCTGTCTTCAGTGTATATGATTGCCCCTTCTCCACATACCTTGACAGTCCAACATCACACCATCAGTTTAAGTCCTGCCAACTTAACCAAAAGAACAAAACCTTTTAAAATTTGCATTTATTAGACTGTTAATGAAGCTGAGCTATTTTTCATATGTTTAGTGGTCATTTCTTCTGGGAATTATTTTTGCATCATTTCCACATTGTACCTATTTTGAAGAACACTAATAATAAAATGAAGAGTCTTTTTAAAAAACTCAAAATTGCAATTGAGTGATTTATTCCAAACAAAATTTTTTTTGATACTTACTATATAGATTTCAAAAAATTATGTGCTACAGTAATGAATAAAATATAACTTTTACAGAGAAATAGTTGATCCCTGTCTTCATTGTAGACAAAACATTCATATTTGTCACACAAAAAAGGAGAAGCCAAGCCATCTGGATAATGACTTCCATAATGATCTCCCAGGGGCCTAATATTAATTCTTACATCTTTATGTTAATTACAATGTTTACAGCTTCTCTGTAGAGGTCAGTTATTTAAAAAGAATGGAGCAGGAAGGTGAGAGGGATGGGAGATAACATATACAGAGTTGACAATTTGTAACTTGAAAACAAGTCTTCAGGTCTTTACAATTCTGGCCCCTAACAGCCAATGGTTTTGTTCTCTGAACATATTTAATCTGGATTGAATGGGCCCATTGAGGAAAAGCTTAGGCTATTTATTTCTGAGCTGAGCTAGTGGATGTTTTGAGAACTAATGAGCTGTATGAAGTGAAACAGAGCTGGGAGCCACCTCTGAGTACCGCAGAAGGCATTTTCCTAACCCAAGAGTGGAATACCTGGCTTGCAAAGCATATGTTTAAGGGGCTAGAGATCAGTGTGTCTGGATCTGGGACTGATTTGAAAAACCCAGGGCAGAGAATAGATTCTCTATATGGCAGCTCCACAAGGAGGCATCTGAGGACAGTCCCTGCCAAGCTTTGAGCATCTTCTCTGACCGAGACCACATATTAGGGACCAAGCAGGTGAAGGCAATCACTGTGCAGAAGTAAATGGGAGGGATGAGAAGAAAGGGAGTTAGTGAGTATTAAATCCCAACTCTGTACCTTACCAGCTGGGTAATCTTATGCAGGTCAATTCAACTGTCTATGCCTCTATTTCTTGGGCATAGTAATGGTGTCTATCTCACAGGTATATTGAAATAATGAAGCTCTTAGCACATAAGGTATGGTGGCTTTTAATACTTTTTAGTTTAGTATGATTTATTAGAATTCTTGCCTTTGAAGAGCTCACAAGCTGTCAATCTCCAAGACAGTCCCCATCAGTCCTGAAGTCTTGTTGATTCATTCAACAAACATTATGTGTACCTATTATGTGCCAAGGAATACTCTGGATAATAGGCAGATAAAATTAAGAAAAATAATTATAGATTGGAAAAAGTGCTTTGAAGAAAAATAAAGGTTCAAAGAAAGAGGTTAGCCAGAGGGATGCTAAAATAGAGAGGATAATTAGAAAAGTTTTCTCAGAAGAAGAAATGTTTACACTCAATAAAAAGATGAGTAAAAGTTTCCAGGCATAAGGAACCCAAAGGAAAGGATCCCAGGATGAGATAACCTGCTGTAGGATGCATCTGAGAGCAAGGAATCTGAAGACTGGTGAAGTAAGGGTCGCATGGGAAGGGGCTAGAGAAAGAGATGGGAGCCCTATTGCACAGAGGAAACTTCTAGTATTATTGGTATTATTATCTCCACCAAAACCTATAAATCTTCCTGGCCAAGTTATTTTCATGCTTTATTTTTCATGTACACTGAGTGCAATTTCATCAAAACCACCCATGCCTTAGGTTTTGGATTTCAAAGCTTTAGTTTATTTTGTTTTATTTTCATATTATTTTAATCATATGCTTTTTTTTATTTCTCCCTTACCACCCCACCCTAAAATATCCCAGAAAAGGATGGAGACCTAAAGACTCAAGTTGAAAAGCTCTGGAGAGAAGTCAATGCCCTGAAGGAAATACAGGCTCTGCAGACAGGTAAGACCCCATCTCATCGATTCCTGCCTCAAAGGAGATAGGGGGGAAATTGCGATTTCCCAGCAATTCAAACCATACCTGGAGAGCATGTCAAGGTCTAGGTGACATATTTTTAAAAGAGACATTGACAAGCCAGATGTGTTTTGGAGAAAGGATCTAAAAGCTGAGGAGATGACTGTTGTGGGAAATCAGTTTGATTTTTCACTCCCTTCTTTTATAGATGGGTAGTATAGAAATAAAAATAGGCATTTCAATAAAAAATTTAAAAAGTCTGTTCATAAGTCTCATCTTATAATCAATGAAACAGAAGTGAAGTGAGTATTAACTACCTTAAGTAATTAGTACTCATTGGCTGCTCATTGAGAGATCTGCTGAGATTCAATTAAACTAATAGCCACAGGACTCAGGCATGTACATCAAATGCAAATGAAAGGACGTTGGTTAGAACCACAGTTTGCCAATAGGGGGCAACATTTAGTGTTCCTTACTTTCTGGAGCAGAGCTCCAGGGGTGAGGAAATGAAAGTCACACTGGGTGGTTCAGGAACAGCCTGGGCTGCAAAGCACATACCCACAGAGAACAATACTCATATAGTAACTCAAAGTAGAGCTTTGAGGGTCCCACAAGAGACCTGCACAATTTTAAGAGTAACAGCCTTCAGAGAAGACTGAAGTTATAGCTTTCAATCAAGTGCTTATTACTTCCAGACCATCCATGTTATCAATTCAAGGTCATTTTTTACCCTAAGCAATGTTGCCTAGCAACACTGGTGATATATCCCCATTATCAGGTTTCCAGGGAAACAGAATTAGAAAGTTAAAGGAAAGTCAAATGTGCATGCAGAAGGAAAGTTTTGTGTTTTTTTTTAATATATATTTTATTGATTTTGTACAGAGAGGAAGGGAGAGAGATAGAGAGTTAGAAACATCGATGAGAATCCTCGATCAGCTGCCTCTTGCACACCCCCCACCGGGGATGTGCCCGCAACCAAGGCACATGCCCTTGACTGGAATCGAACCCGGGACCCTTCAGTCCCCAAGCCAACGCTCTATCCACTGAGCCAAACCGGTTTCGACCAGAAGGAAAGTTTTATTAATGCTTCATCTATATTATCACATTAATCTCTAACAATTTATGAGATACCTGCTATAGTGATTATCCTCATTTTACAGATGAGAAAACTGAGGCACAGAGAAAATAAATAATTTGCCCAAGCTTTACAAAGCTAGTAAATGTTAGAGCCTGATTCACCCATGCTTTTCGCCTAATCTATATTTAATGTTTGGCTTATCCTGGGCAATCTAAACAATATATATAGTAGGGATGAGTTATCTGCATAAGAAAAACATTGTTTCTCTCTATACAAACTCTGGCCTTTCTTCCTGTTTTTAATAATTATGAAATATCATTCCAGTTTCAAAAGTCCCAAAGAAATTCAGCACAAAGTGGACTTACAATAGCTAACAATCATGTATATATCAAAGCAGCATGAGGGTAAAGACCATATTTTAAGAGAGGGACAGACCTGGGTGTGCACAGTTGTAATCTCATGCTAAGTTATATTTTTACATGCTAAGTTGTTGCAAATCACAGCTTTTTCTAAGCCTTAATATCCTATATGTACAAATGGGAATAATAAAATCCTACTTCATGGGACTGTTGTGATTATTATATGAGTAAAGTGCTTGGAGAAGATCAAAAGTTATCTTTTTGTTAAGTGTATATACAATGTCCAACACATGCAAAATCACCAGTAAGTAAATGTTAATTCAGCATTACCCATCACATATCATTCATTCCACAAACATATACTGGTACTTGCCAGGTCTGGTTCTGGATGTCTTAAACTCAACAAGCATTTTAATATATCAAATCTCACATCTTTACAGTCTGTCTCCGAGGCACAAAATTTCACAAGAAATGCTACCTTGCTTCAGAAGGCTCGAAGCACTTCCACGAAGCCAATGAAGACTGTATTTCCAAGGGAGGGACCCTGGTAATCCCCAGAAGCTCAGATGAAATCAATGCCCTTCGAGACTATGGTAAAAGGAGCCTGCCGGGTGTCAATGACTTTTGGCTAGGCATCAATGACCTGGTCACGGAAGGCAAGTTCGTTGATGTCAATGGAATTGGCATCTCCTTCTTCAACTGGGATCGAGCACAGCCTAATGGTGGCAAGCGGGAAAACTGTGCCCTGTTCTCTCAGTCAGCTCAGGGCAAATGGAGTGATGAGGTTTGTCGGAGCAGCAAGAGGTACATATGTGAGTTTATCATCCCTTAATAGATCCTTCTCAAATGCATCTTCCAAGCATGATTTATAGGCCGAAGGTTCTTAAGAATACGTTAAATTGTCCATAGGAATAAAAGAATTAGCCAATTTTGCTACCATGTTTCATTGTGATTTTTCACTCTATGGGACATGAGGGATCAGAAAATAATGATCCAGCAATGTACACACTGTTGAAGTGGCTTCTGCAAAATGGGCTTCAAATCCTTCTTTCTTTCCTAGTCCCTCTCACTTGTATAGACGAGGTCTGTATTAAAAATACAATAGCCAGAAAAGCAAGCTTCTTTTGAAAGATTAGTATGTATTTTGTTAATGAGAATTCTCTAAATCAGAGATTCTAGGTGCTATATAATCCGAAAATTTTTCAGTCTGATACTCAATTTGTTCCATTTTTTTGGCCTTAGTGCCTTGTTAGCCCATTCCCTCTTCTTGGAGTTGCTACAATGCCTGGTAGAACTTGTATCTTGTCTACCATATCAGAACATGAATGTCTCAGATTCTCATTAGTTTTTTTCTTCAAGACCCCTTCCCCATACACTTTTTTCTTTTTAATTCCCAATCAACATCTGCAAGGAAATGATAAGGCAGCATATTTGGTCATTTTCCCCTTCCAGCATTACATTACCACTTCCAATTTGAATGGCTAACCTTAAGGCAGAACAAGAGCAGCAGACTATGAAAAGATGGAAAAAGAAAAAATGTCTGATTTTTCATTGCTTTAGCATCCTATTGTCCTTTATGAAATTGAAGATGGATAATCTATATCTATTGGGAGATATATATATATATATATATATATATATATATATATATTCCCCTTTTTACATACATAATATTTCAATAATCATATATTTAAGTCTATAAGGGGCAATCTATCTTTGGAAGTTTAAAGTTAGATTTAAATAAAACTATTTTGGAGTCACATCTCTGTGAAATTTTCTATTCTGCCAAATGCTATTCCTATTAAATTATTTAACTAGAGTGTGTAAAATAACTTCATTGCTTACTATGAAATTACAATGTTTAGGCTTATGGAAAATGAACTTTTTAAAAGCAAACAATTTTAAGTATATTCTGTACTTCAAAAGCAAACAATTTTAAGTATACTCTATTCTTCAAATATCATTTTTTCTTTAAATATTGAATGTATTTTGTATTATCATTCTCTGCAAACTTTAACTATATGTGCTTGGAATAATGTTTTGGATCTTTCAATTGTACAATAATAAAGCCTGAATTTTGGTCAAATCTGGATGTATCTGGATATTGATTATAGTTATTCAAACTATGTTGGTTTTATCAAATTTGACACAATTCAGGGGATACTCATGATTTACATAAACTAGGAAAGTATTTTACCTGACAATAAAGAGGAAATGTCTGTGGGGAAGAGGGGCACTTTAAAAAGAAAATTATACCTGCAATTGTTTTTGGTTGACCCTGGCCAACTCACTACTCTAATACAAGATGATGACAACAATGAAAATGACACCATTATAATTAGCTAGTTGTTAATAATAGAAAAGGAGTGAAAGGGAGGCCAAACATTACAAGCATGACCACCAGGAAGCTGCAATTTCACATTCTTCAGGGAACCATCAACCCATTCCTCACAGATTATTGGGGGAAGGGTATCCACAAATGGGAGACAGTGAAGTTGGGGTGACTAGGGAAGGTGCCTGTCAGTCAAACCTAGGAACAAAGATTATTGGACAGAATGGGTGGGGCCACTGTAAACCCACAAAAATCAGGGGATACATAACCCGCCAAACAAAGGAGTTTACTTTTTTTTTTTTAAATGTATTTTATTGATTTTTTACAGAGAGGAAGAGAGAGGGATAGAGAGTTAGAAACATCGATGAGAGAGAGTCATCTATCAGCTGCCTCTTGCACACCCCCTACTGAGGATGTGCCCACAACCAAGGGGCACCAGAATTGAACCTGGGACCTTTCAGTCTGCAGGCCAACGCTCTATCCACTGAGCTCAACCGGTTTCGGCCAAAGGAGTTTACTTTTATTGTGACTCTTGGTTCTTTGCTTGTGAGGCTTTTTTGTTCCTGCTTCCTTGCATTCACCCATGTTTTCTCCAAGCTATGTGGCCCTGTGAACCCCACATACAACAGACTGATGGTCTGAGGCTGGGAACACACACTCAACTAGCCTAATGTTGTATTGGACTGTGCAGACATGGAATGGAAGCTCTGGACACTGGCTTTGATTCTAGCCCTATTGAAGCCATAGCTACACTTCTTTCTTGGGGGAATGAAGGGAAATTGGACCTTGGAAACTTCAGGGTTTGATTCCACAGAAAGAAAGCTTTTTACAACATCTCATCCTCCCATGTGAATCTCAGAAAATTCTTTTTTTGTGGATATCATGAGAAGTCCACTTCCACAAGCAACAGGTGGGAACATGGACTTCTCTCCACTGATAACAAAATTAGTAGACATCAATGGTCACATATTCTCATCATATTCCAGGTATTGTCTGAGAGAGCAGGGCGGGGTAAGGCGAACCCCTGACTAGAACCCTGACTCCACTGTGGGACAGGGCAAAGTTATCCTCCATTTTGTGTAACTGGACAATAGCCCTCACCCCACCAATCAGGGTCAGCCAAAGCAGTGACATCACCACTGGTGTAAAACCCCAGGGCTTGGCGAAATTTGCCCAATCGTTCGCCATGCGGTCAGCATGTGTAGGACAGAACCCATGTTAACATGAAAGAAGCTCTCTTGTTAATTGCATTGGACTTGGCTCCCTGCTGGTCTTTGGGGGTCATGGAATCTCACGGAATCTCGGTACAACACTGCCCTAATTTTAAATAATCATTAATCTCTAGAACAACTCTGGGAATTAGGCTCTGGAACAATTCCATTTCATAGAAGAAAACTGAAGGAGAGAGATATGTTATCTGTCCTATAAGTCACAGGACAGGAAGTAGTGAAGTTGTAATCAGAACTCAACAAACTGCTTAGATCCTACATCCTTAGCAACTATAGGGGAGTTACGACAAGGTCAAGTTTGTTCAACGAGGCACTGGAAGTGGACTTGAACCTGTTCTCCCAATTCCCTCACATGGGGTAGCAATTTGGGCAGACAGCTGATCTTGATAGGGCATTCAGTCTGAGGCTGCTTCCCAAAGGGCTGAATAAAGACAACCATGGCTCACACAAATCAGCGTCAGAATTTGGGTTTCTAGGACATGGGGCTAAATAATATCATCTTCCCTGAGTACCCCAATCAGAAAGCTACAGAGAAGAAGCTTTATTGAAAGGAACAGATGAAATTTAGTGAGGGGAAATCAAGATGAGTTAGCAAGACAATGAGCACTTGGATGAGGGACACAGCAGGAAGGGAGGAGAGTGGATTAAGGGATTATCTGGCTGGCCCAAAATGACTCTCATGACCTTGACTTTATTGTTTAGCCAATCAAGCAAAGTTCACACCAACAAGATTCACTAATGCTCTAGGTCTATTTTGCCTGTTAGGCATTCTTAAGCAAATAATTAGTCTTTAAGCAAGATTGAGAAATGCTTCTTTACTCTTAGGCCAACTTTTCTGTCTCCATGAAAGCTGCCTGGACTATTGAGTGGAGAAACATTCTGAAGGTTGGTGGATAGAGTTCCAGGAACAATTAGCAATGTTTCTCACAAATTCATAGTTTCTCACAAGTTCACTTTTGTACCACATAATTGTTATCTCTACTGTAAACAACTGCAGATATCAGTTACATTCAAAGCTCAACAAGCCTTCACAGGAAGCTGATTCTGATCTCTAAAGCAGTGCTTTTCAAACTTTTCTGTGCTTGCAAACCATCCGGGGACCTTGTTAAACTGCAGATCCCATAGGTCTGGATTGAGACTCCAGATTCTGCATTTGTAAAAGCTTCCAGTAGAAGCCAACAGTACCAGACCACACATGACAAGCTGATAGCAAGGGCCTAACTGTTACTTGCCTGGAGACAGTTTCTGATGGATTCCTGCAATTTTGCTTCTCTTTAACTCAAAGTCAAGTTACTGTTTGAGTGAAAAATAATACTGAGCAATTTTTCCCACAGATGCTTCCATCCATACCATTAAATGAAGTACAAAGTAAAAATCAATTAGTTAAAGAAAACATCAATAGAAGAGACTCAAATTAGTGATTTGAAGGAGGATTTATTGCAAGGCTCAATGGTTCCTTTCTCTTCCCTAGCATTTCTTAACAGCATTTCTTAAACAAAAAAATAAAAAATAAAAAATAAATAAAGATACAGTCTTTCTTACATTCAGATTGTTAGGTCTGATCAAATAATTGAATTGATATACTTTCCCCTGGGAAACTGACCTTCAGATAATTGCAAACTGACATTCCCTTTGACTTAGACCACATTCAATTTGCTAGGACCAGTAATTTTCCCCTCCGACTTGCCCAGGATCCAGACCCACCCAGAGAATTCCCAGGTGAAAAAGCCTGCCTAGAGTCCTTTAAAATCTCCGAGTGCCACTGCTGGGGCACCCAAGCAGATTGTGCTGGACCCCGAAGCATCAACTCCCTCTGGCCACTGAGAGTGGACATCAACAACACAAAGGGCTGTTGGCATAGGGGTCACTTTTTCACTATTCGGCCGAGTCCCCTAGAGAAGAAGGGACAGTGACTTGGCTTCTGCCTTCTGCTGGGCACTAAGGTGAGGAAGAGTCTGGGAAAATAGACTGTCCCCTGTCTTAGCCTCTTGAACCCCAATACCAGCTGACTACCAGAATCCAGTGACAACTAATGGCCATAACTGCCTTCCCTCCTTGCCTCATAATGGCAAAGCTAAAGTTATCCTACCAGCTTTTTTTTTTTTTTTAAACAGGAGCAAGCAATTCAGAAGATAATTTTTTCCCTCATTTGTAAATGGCAGGTAATATCTGAGACCATCTAGAAAATGGAATAATACTCCCACCTCATTTAAGATTTTATGACGATTTTATGAGATAGTGCAGCTAGAAAGGCACTGCACAGTCTGTTGC